ACCCCAAACCTTTCTTTGCAATGAAAGTCGAATTTCACTAGATCGGGATTCATCCAAACCGATCTTTCTTTATTGCTACTAATTTGAGGAAAAAACATGTTTTTTTTAAGCAAAAATTGCCATGACGCCTGATGCCCACCATTTATTCGGATTCGTTCAATCGCGCGGAATTAAGGTGAATAGATACTTCTCCAACACAGAATCACTCTAAAATCTCCCAGATCCTGCGACCTCTCACAGTCCCACCATCTGTGGGGCGTATATCATTTCGCCTGAGTAGTCCCGCCCAAAAGATCTCATGACGCCAGCCTCATCAGGCCTCTGATCAGACGCAAAAAAGTACTTACCATTTGGCCACACGATCGCTCGTCGCCAGGACGATGGCTCTCATGTTCTGACTGTCGATCATCAAGTCGGTCGGTTCAGCTGGATTCAACAGCATTCGGCTCGTCTGACCGTCAGTGATCCTCAGCGCCAGAATGACCACATCCCACTTCTCGTAGGCGAATCTGAAAGACAACCAGAGAAAAATGGTCAGCGTTTGACACTATTTTAAACCAACAGACGACAGATTTTGGTATCCCCATAGAGTCTCCTTTTTCCCCAGATGAAGTTGTGAAAACGAGATCATGCCGACACAATACCCTGGAGGAAAAGACCTTTTTGGGAAGCAAGGATTAGTGAAATTCAATGGAACCGTAAGCCACGCTCATATAATTGTGAAAATATAAACAAGAAATTCTGATAGGGCTGGAGTGAGATAAGAGGTTAGGAAGTGGACAAATAGGCCGGGAAAGAAAGAGGAGTGATGCATAGCCGTTTCGGCAGAAAGTTTGGTCAAGGGATTGGACCAGTCCCTCATCACCTTAAACATAATAGGGTTGATACATCTGAGATATCTGATTTACTGGCAGTCTCGAAAGCCTACATATAAATGAAGAAATGCAGACAAAGAGGAAATTGCAATTCAGTCCGGTTTAGGAAGCCTTTTGGGAGGCATAGCTGAGTGAAATTCCAATCGAGACTTATTCGAGGTGGTAATCTTTGGTACACTCGATGATTGACGTACCAAGGTCGAACAACTAATATTATTCGAACCACAGCTCCTCTGTCTGTACTTCAGAGTAGAGCAATCATAAACTTTCGACATTTCGCATATTTTGGCTTACACGGTTAACTCTCGAGACCATAGCTTGTGAAATTCGTGACTGATGTTGACATCATATAAGGCCATCGAGATGCCACATTCGTATTCACTACGCCAGCCCTCAAACTGAAAGGTAAAAAATAAGATGCCATAAAATGGCACTTTATAGCTGAGCATGTGAATTTGGCTGTGTATATGTTATGACACAAACAAGTTGGTTGACTGAATGGGATGCAGTTGAGTGAGTGTAATTGGCGAGGGGATGACCATATGAGGCGATAAATTAAAGCTCTGTGTAATACATGATAAGCTTGTTTCCATGACATGGTCTATACACTCGCTGTCTATAAGCAAATAAATACACATACGCACACAAAGACAGACGCAAGCGTACTTACAACCCCCTGTAGGGTGCGCACGAGCATTGCAGAGAGGAAAAGTGTTTGCGGAAATCATATAAATACCTTCTATATATCTATCCATTCTTACTTATTCATAGGAGCTAAAAAAACCCATTACTTCTTCAAAAATAGGGATTATATCAATTATCCCTTAAAATATTTTTTTAATTTATTTAATGTATATCATCATTTCCCTTCAAATTTAACGCTGTTTCTACACCTTTCATCCAAACCTCCGCTTATTCTATCCCAGTTCCCCCTAAGAAGGAGGGGCAGCAACAACTAAGGGACTGCGCTTCAAATTCATCTAAATTGTATATATATATATATATATATTCACATATATTTATACATAGATGAAATATGTATGCCTATACATATATAGGCCGAACACCAATCCCAGTCAGAGCGAATTTTTCATCGGCCTATGCCGGTTCTCCCAAATAAGCCGCTCTTCACCCCTTTCGAGGAGGATAGACAAACGTGACGACCACAAGTGAAGCATGACAGCCAGGCAGGCAGTCACACTTACATTGGCGAGTCGACTCGCAAAAGAGCCTAAATGTGGCGACCAAATCAAGGCTGGGACAGTACGAGATTGCGTCAAGTATCCTCAAGTTGTGGACAAATAGGCGTCAGGAATAAGTTTGGAAGTTGAAATTAGAGAAAGAAATCTGTCTTTAAACAGGATGACACATTAGAAGTGACCAAAGTAAACTGTCCAAATGTTTCTTTGGTCTGAATAGCCAGCTGATCTGCAGCGATGATAGCGCCAACTAACTACCAACTGTCACTACCAAATAACCTAGGCTAGAACCACTGTTTAGACTAAAAAACTTTATGAAAATAGAGAATTAGTTTAACTTACTTATCTCAACATAGTCATGTCTTCAGAGAAACCTAGAAGAAAACACCTTTCCCGGCGTCCTCTGGTACTAGCAATAGTTATGCTAAATTCCAGTGTCATATCATTGAAATGGTACATTTCCAACATCATAGTCAGCAACTTCAGCAGGTCTTTCTGGTATTAGCAGCAACCTAAAATTCGTTAGAGACAACTGTAAAGACCATCCCTTGACCAACTTTCAGCTGAGTTTGTGCGATATTTTGCCTCCTGTTGTCTGGAGATATACCGATTTCACGGAAATACGCTGGAAATTCTCATGTCTGCAGTGGCAGAGGAGGCTGGACAAGGTGCTTTTTAGGGGTCGCCATGGCAACACAACCAAGTTGCAAGAAACACTACGTCTAGACAAGGAGAGAAGACTGTGGTCAACGCAGTGGTCACACAATCTTGGTCTTGGTATGGTCTTGGTATGAGAGTAAATTTAGCTATTTAATGAAATGGTAGATAGAAACTTTTGCGATGAAGCATGCAAAATTTAGGCTTCTGCAGAAAAAATTCTTAGATTTTACTTTAGAATGGACATCCTTCTTCTGTTTATGACTATTCAGGAGATTCACGATAAGCGTGGAGAAGCCTGGAGCCATACAGTTGTAGGCCATTAGACCGAGTTTCAACTCATCCATGCAAATCACGGTATCCCTTCGAAGGCAGGTCCAACGGGGAAAGTTGTTCAGCAGACACTGTATAGGTAGAAAATAAATGAGAATTAAATTTTCCAGATAAACACAAGTAGCTTTTTGTTTGAAGCCATGTCATTTGTCTATTCAGTAGATGAGTGCAAGAAAAGAAAAACTCAGAAGGTTGTCTCGAAATCCTACTTATACACTAAAAAGGATCTTCGAAGATTTGACGACCAGGATGGTGTGGCCTTTTGTATGGTCGCTATCTTCTTTAGTTGTATAGAAGTTATTTAACCCTGTTTTCGCAACTTGGTCATAAAACTTATATACAACATAAGGAGATCGAGACCATACAAAAGGCCATACCATCCTAATCTTCATATCTTCAACTAAACTATGGAAGTAATAACATATGAAGGCCAAATGTTATGGACTTTGTTATGGTCGCAGTCTCCTTTCGATTTATATAAGTGGGTTGACCTCGTTGTCGCAACTTGGTC